GGGTTAGGATAGGAGCTGTGGGGGGTAGAGGTACCATTGATTACGGTTACAGGTCCGGTCCCCGAACTCCTGCCTGGGGGGACTGGGCGGGCTCTGCCCCAGACCTGCTACCAGGTTCAGGGGCTGTTTACTGCCTAACTGGAAGGGCCCAGCTTTAGGCCCAGCTCTAGGCCCAGCTCTAGGCCCAGCTTTAGGCCCAGCTTTAGGCCCAGCTTTAGGCCCAGCTTTAGGCCCAGCTCTAGGCCCAGCTCTAGGCCCAGCTCTAGGCCCAGCTCTAGGCCCAGCTTTAGGCCCAGCTTTAGGCCCCCTGTGTGGGTCAGAACGGGTCGGTAGGCTTCCTGTAACACATCCTACAGACTCCACTGGCACAGGACGTCCTCACTGCTTATCTAAACCCCGTTATCAGTGCCTGCTGGCTACAGGAGTCCCAAACAGCATCAGCTAAAGGTCCCCCACAGGCCCAGATACAGGTCCAGATACAGGTCCAGATACAGGCCCAGATACAGGCCCAGATACAGGTCCAAATACAGGTCCAGATACAGGTCCCCCTACAGGCCCAGATACAGGCCCAGATACAGGTCCCCCACAGGTCCAGATACAGGTCCCCTACAGGTCCAGATACAGGTCCCCTACAGGCCCAGATACAGGTCCAGATACAGGTCTAGCCCCGGCTGTGCCCTGGGCACTGGCTATCAGGTGGGTCCTCAGACCTCCAGGTAAAAGTCCTCCTCCTGCCTCAGAGGGATGGGTTAGGGTTAGGGTTAGGGTTAGGGTTAGGGTTAGGGTTAGGGCTAGGGTTAGGCTGCAGCTGAGAGCAGACCTGTCAGCTGAGCTCTGACAGCTGAAACCAGCAGCAGCTGCCTTTCTGCCACCAATTTAAGCTGAGGGACCTCCGACCCCTCCGGCTGCTTTTAGCTCCGCCTCCTGCTGTAAACCACACCGCGCTGTTAGGAAACACGCAGGAGCTGAGCCCCTTTTACAATGTTTTGATTTTCTTTTGGCTCCTTTTCAGGGCGTTTTTCAGAATTAACTTTATGAGTTCTCTTCTTTTCCGAGTTGAAAGTAGAAACAAACAGTCTAAAGCTTTTCCTGCTTTTTAATCACTGGTAATTCTTTATGAGTTCTTCTGATAGGAATAAGCTAGAATTTCTGAGCTGAATCACATTTATTTATGAGCACTGATTCTTCCTTTTGTCATCTGTTGGCTGCTGTAAAAGCTTAAAGTCCAGTTTGAACTCTTGAATGAACATTATCATCCTGTTGTTTCTGTTGCTCTGTTTTAAACTGAATTTTTGGCTCATTTGGGCATTAAATGACTTTAAAAAGTGTTCAAACCGGCTTTTCAGGACAATTTTCTCCTCAGTGTTAACGTTTGAAAAAGAGGCTCCCAGAGGGACCAGACCCATCAGATTTGCTCAGAGATTTATTGAAATGTGAAACCCGACCTGGCTGCTCTAAACATGCCGTACCTCACACCTACACACCCCAGAGCTCTCCGGTTTCCTTAAATAATCCGGCTAACAGCAGGATTTCCCATCATGAGCTGAACCCTGATCAGTGTGAACCAGGCCTGTGGACCGGGACACTTCCTGTGGTTCTGGAGCTGATAAACGTGGTGTTGCCACCTTCCCTGCGGCTGCTGTTAAAAATAACCCCAGAAACGCTGGCGGGGCAGAAGGGCCCCTCTGAGTTGTCTCAAAGCAGGATTGAGTGCTCCGCTGGGATGTCCTTATAAGAGCAGCGGGGAATCGGCCAGACCCGGACCGGGACCAGAACCAGCAAGACCCAGCAGGGGCCTGGACTCACCTGAGGGGGGCCTGAGTGTTTATGTTTATGTTTATGTTTCTGCATTTGGTAGACTCTTTTATCCAAAGCGACTTACAGAGTAGACCCAATATTCCATTTCTCATCACTGTGACAATAAGCTCTATAGAGGACGAGGTGTTCTGGACTCACCCTGTCGCTGGGCTCCAGCCTGGTTCCCCCCAGGAACCACTGGACGGCGATGTCCTCGTAGGACAGCTCGCACTGGAAGGTGGCGGTCTCCCCGGCGGTCACCGTCACGTCCTTCAGGGGCCTGACCAGCCCGATGACCCGGGCTTCGGGTCGGGGAGAAGACATGGTTAGCCCCCCCCCTCAACACCTCAACGGCTCCACAGATTCCCAGAAAATCCCGCAGAGAGGTCAGGTGGTCAGTGGCCGGTCCTCATGGCGACTGAGGCCCGGCGGGCGGCCGCCCGGGAGAGGGCCCGCGCTCATTAGCATACGGCCCCCCCCCCCGCCAATCACCGGCCCGCTGCTCTGGAAAAGGCATGCGGCTTCTAAAATAACTGCAGGCCCTGATTGGCCCGCTGCCCACGGAGGCCAAAACCGGCCCGGGAGCGCCTGCTGCTGTCAATCACCAGAGCTTTTTCCCTGGAAAAGGAGAATGTGGAGCCTACAGGCCGGACGGGTTCGGGTGGTGCCCACATCCCCGTCCACCTGCCGGAACCAAGGTCCAGCTGTGGTTTCACATCTGCCTCAGGACCAGGTTCCACAGGCCTTCTCCTTACAGCTGCCACTATATCAGCCAGAGGACAGAACATCCAGAGGAAAGACCATCCAGAGGAAAGTCCATCCAGAAAACAGATCATCCAGAGGACCGTCCAGACAGAGGCTAGAAACATCCAGAAGACAGACTATCCAGAAGACAATCCAGCCAAAGGAAAGTCCATCCAGAGGACAAAACATCCAGAGGAAAGACCATCCAGAGGACAGACTATCAAGAGGACAGACGATCAAGAGGACAGACTATCAAGAGGAAAGACTATCAAGAGGAAAGACTATCAAGAGGAAAGACCATCCAGAGGACATACCATCCAGGGGAAAGACCATCCAGAAGACAGACCATCCCTTAGGACTGACCATCCAGAGGACAGTCTATCCAGAGGACAGTCTATCCAAAGGAAAGTCCATCCAGAGGAAAGTCCATCCAGAGGAAAGTCCATCCAGAGGAAAGTCCATCCAGAAGACAGATCATCCAGAGGACAAACGCCTGAACGGCTGTCCAGCTAACCCTAACCCTGACCCTAACAGGGCCGAGGGAACGCATGCTGACCAGGATCCAAAAGAGCTCAGAGGGCTTCAGGAGGCTGAGCCTCCGAAGAGGGGAACCTGAGGGGGGTGAGCTGAGCCCCACCAGCCTAGGACAGGTCCCTCGTATCTAACCAGGAAGCAGCTCTCAGGTTTGCTCCAGGTTTCGGGCAAAAAGGCCCAGCAGCCCAGCTCTGGCCACCTTTGGGTGGTCAGAGATCTGAGAGGCTCTCAGAGGTTTGGCTGGACGTGGCTCCCTCAGGCTAAAGCTAAAGATGAGCGTGGAGCTCCGGCTAGAGCTCAAACCGACCGATCGGGACGGGGGATGAGGCTGTTTGTGGCTCTGAAAGTTTCCCGGGAGCCGCTCTGCTGTCCGGCTGCTACAGAGACTCTGACCACCCAAAAGTGAC